TTATATACGCAATGGAATACTACTTGGCAATGAGAAAGAATGAAGTCATGCCATTTGCAGCAACATGGATAGAACTGGAAGGTATTATGCTGAGTGAAATAAGTCAGTCAGAGAAAGACAGATATCATATGTTTTCATTCATATGTGGATCTTGAGAAACTTAACAGAAGACCATGGGGGAAGGGAAGGGGAAATAATAGTTAGAAACAGAGAGGAAGGGAAGCAAACCATAAGAGACTCTTAATATAGAGAACAAACTGAGGGCGGATGGGGGGCAGGGGAGAGGGGAAAATGGGAGATGGGCATTGAGAAGGGCACTTGTTGGGATGAGCACTGGGTGTTGTATGTAAGTGATGACTCATGGGAATCTACCCCGAAAACCAAGAGCCCACTGTATACACTGTATGTTAGCCAGTTTGAGAATAAATTATATTTTTAAAAAATAAAAAGGAAGGAAACTCTGAAACACACGACAATACGGGTGAAATTTGAGGACATCGTGCTCAATGACATAAGCCAGTCACAGAGTGATTCAGCTTCTACGAGGCACCTAGAGTGGTCACAGCCATGGAGACAGAAAGCAGATAGAGGTTACCAGGGGCTGCAGGCGAGGGGACAGAGAGATAATGTTGAATAGAGACAGAATTCCTGTTGGGCAAGATGGAAAAGTTTTGGAGATAAATGGCTGCAATGATTATACAATCATGCAAATGTACTTCAGGTCACTGAACTGCCCACTTAAAAATGACTTAAGGGATGCCTCTGGGTCGTTCAGTTGGTTAAGCGTCAGACTCTTGGTTTCCACTCCGGTCATGATCTCATGGTTGGTGGGTTCCAGGCCCGCATTGGGCTCACCGCTGACCGTGCAGTGTCTGCTTGGGATTCTCTCTCTCCCTCTCTCTCTCCCTCTCTGTCTCTTTCCTTCTCAAAATAAGTAAACATTTTTAAAAAATGTTTTTTAATGATTTAAATGGCAAATTTTGGAAACACAACACTGTGCCCAGCCTGTAATAAATTGGAGATGTTTTCATCCTTCCTTCTCTCCTTGCCAACCCTAGCTGGCCACACACCTGTCTCCGTCCCCTCTTCCAGTCCCTCCAGCCACCAAAACCTTACAGTCTCCCGTCTGTCCTTTTCCCCAGTGGCCACCCAGCTGTGTCCCACTTCCTCCCTAAAAAAGTTATCTCAGCTTCCCCAACAGCACCCTTTCCTGGCCTTCCTCCGAGCTCTTCCCTTGCTCCTTCTCAGCCCTCTGCCCCCTAGGCCGGGGGTCTTCCTTGGGGTCCTGGGCAGATGTCCCTGGTCTTTCCACTCCATACAGTCTCTGGGCGTGGGCTCCAGGCACCCTGGCTTCTGGTGCCGCTGGTGCTGATAACATACCACCTCTGTCTCTAACCAGACAGCTCTCCTAAGCTCCAGACCGGGGTCTCCAGTGAGGACCCTAAGGGATCTTCTTGCTTGCTCGGAATCACCCTTGGGCTTCTGCTTTTCCTGGCCACGTTTCCCCTCCAGCCCTCTGAGCTCTGTCCCCATCCTCCGGCCTGAAGGTCTCTACTCAGCCCCTCACCTCCTTCCCACCCCACCCCACACACACTCCCTCCATGCCCCAGGCAAACACCTGCTCATCCACAGCAGGCCCCAGCTTAGACAGCTCGCCCCTCAGGAACCCTTTCTCCACTCTGGGGTTCCATCAGGCCCTTCCACGTTCCCTGTCAGAGGGCACATCACCCTGGACTGAGTTTCCTATTGCCTATTGGCCTTTCCCATCAGACCATAAGTTCCCTGAAGGCAAGGACTCTGGCCATCTGCTCATTCATTCGATCGTTCATTCATTCATCAAATATGTTTTGAGCGCTCATGTCATGGCCAACAACACTGCTAAGCAGGTGGTGGATTGGTGAACAGGTCGTCTGGGTTTTAGATTCTGGAGGGAAGGAGCTGAGTAACCTGGGAGGTCCAGGGCTGGGCTGGGAAGCGATAAGCTGTGAAGGGACCCTGTTTGTTCCTGTAGCCCCAGCCATTTGCTTGGGTTCACTAAAGTCTTCTCCTTAAGCAGAGGGTTCTTTTGAAGCAGAGGTCTCTTTTGAGACCTCCTGTTCACCAAAGTCTTCAGCTCAGTGGAGGGTCACCATGAGTCCATCCAATCAAAGGTTTCTGCTCAGGGGAAAGGGGTGGGGCTTGTGTTTACCAGGAAATTCTGTTTGGTGGCTGTTTATTTTTAAAATTCATATAGGGGCGCCTGGGTGGCTCAGTCGGTTAAGCGTCCGACTTCAGCCAGGTCACGATCTCGCGGTCCGTGAGTTCGAGCCCCGCGTCGGGCTCTGGGCTGATGGCTCAGAGCCTGGATCCTGGTTCCGATTCTGTGTTTCCCTCTCTCTATGCCCCTCCCCCGTTCATGCTGTGTCTCTCTCTGTTTCAAAAATAAATAAACGTTAAAAAAAAAATTAAAAAAAAAATAAATAAAATTCATATAAAAAAAAAGGACAAAGACATATTTATAGACTCCAAGAAATTGCTCAAAGAGTAGAGTCCCGGGGGCTCCTTCCCTCGGCTTTTTAACCGTATCAGACCCAAATCAGACCCAGGAATTCAATGAGGGCCGTTAGCCAGACTACAGGTCTCCTTCCAGGTCAGCTCTTCAGGTGCCTCTATTTGCCGGTGTGCACGTGTGCAAATATCTGTTTCTATGTAATGTTACCTCCTGTGTAGGTCCAGGTCACCACAAGGGTCCCCAGCCCTCCTGTGCCCCCAGGGTGGGATGGGGGTCTTTCCTTCTGGTTTGCCAGGGCCCTGGCCGCCTAAAGCAGGGAGCTCCTCAGAGCCAGTTCACAGGCAACCGAAGTGCACACAGGGAGCCGGGTGTGTGGGTTCAGACACACTGAGTCCCCAGGTGCAGACCAGACTAAGCAGCAGCCCAGGCAAAGAGGAAGGAAAGTGGTTTGGGAGCCAACCCCGGGGAGGGGGGGGAGGGAAGGGAGGGTTCTTGAGAGAGGGAGAGTGCACAGGCTGCCTCCTGAGTCACCGTGCCCTGCTCAGGCCCAGGGACAAATTGCAGTCATTAGGGAATTTAAGAGGCTGGGGAGGTGCTGTACTGAGGGCAGCGTGCCCTACCCCAGGTTAGGAGGGGTCCCTTGGACCCAGAGCACCTCCTTGGGCTGTCTGGAGCCCTCCCCCACCTCACCGTTGTCTCCCTCCCTCTCTCTAGGTCACCATCTCTCACTCTGTCCCCACCCCTCTGCCGAGTTGGGAGACACCAGTTCTCCACTGCTCCTTCTCCTCCCCGCTGGGGTCCCTGTTCCCCAGACTTTCAGGACTGTGAGAACCACAAAGCCAGAAAGCCTAGGGGACAAGACAGTCCCAGGTGTCTCCTGCCCTTCCCCGCCCCACCCCCTGCCTCCCTCTTCCTGGCTGCTGTCACCTCCCATCTCTGCCTCCCTGTCTCCTCTGAGTGCGTCCCCACCACGTGCTGTGCCCTAGCTCCCTTGGTCACCCCCTCACCTGCCTGGTCCTGCATCGTCCTCCCCCTCCTCCAGCATTTCATCCTCCGGTCCTCCTGCTATTATTTTGTGTGTTTGGGGTGGGGGAGGGGTGGTGATCCTGCCTTCCTTCTCTCTCTTCACTCGGTTCTCTTCCTTTGTGTCTCTGTTCTGCCTTCAGTGTCTTCCTTGTCTTCCCTGTTTTTCTGTTTCTTTCTTAGCTTTCCCACATTCCCTTCTCCATGAATCACTGTCTCTGTGCTGCGCCTGCCCCACTGTCTCCCCCCGCCACCTCCTCTGTCCCCATGTCCACATTCATCTTCCTTCTCCTTCCCCATCTTTCCTTAGTCTCTCTCCCTCTGACACTTGTCTCTCGGGTCTGTGTTTCTCTGAATCTTTCTCTGGTTCTCCACCTTCTTATGTTACTTCTCTTACATTTCCCAGTCTTCTCTGTGTCTCTTTACCCCCAACCCTTACCAGCACCTTCCCCTGAGCCACCCACTCTGTCCACCCTGCCCTGGGGTCCCCCTCCCTCCCTGGGTTCCTCCCAGATTAAACACCTTCCCTGGGCGGGTTCTCATTAATGTGGTGGCTGCTTCTCTGACCAGAGAAGGGAGGGAGGAGATGGGACCAGGGAGTCCTGGAGTCCTGGAATGGGAAATGGGCAATAAAAAAATGTCAGGAGAAGGGCGGGGGTGGGGGAGGCAGGGCCTGTTGCCCAGGCCAGGGATAAAAGGGCTCCACAGAGTGACAGGGAATCAAGGCACCACCCCCCTTCCTGCACACACAGAGACACATCCACATCTCGAAGGGTCTTGGTCTCTGTGTAAGGCCTTCACTGTCTCTGTCCCTCATCTCTGGGTCTCTTGCAGCCTCCTTCTCTCTCACTTTCTCTTTGCATTTGCCAGAACCTGACTCCAGACCCCAGAATGCTCCTCCTGCTGACAGCACTCCAGATCATGGCTCTAGGTAAGACAGCAGTGAGATCCGGAGTATGGCAGTCCCCTAGGCATGCTGAGAAGAGATGGAAAGTGTTCCCTGGGGCCCTGGGGTGCTCATGGATGACCTGATGAAAAGACAGTAGGGTGGTTTGGGGGTCGTGACTGAGGGGCATGCAGAAGGGGCCTGAGTTCTGAGTTGTGGAGATATCAGGGTGCAGGAGTCGAAGGAGATGGGGAGGAATAAATGAGGAATTGTGGAGAAGTATCCAGTGCTGTCTAGGTTTTATTTAAAAAGGAGGGCTGCAAAACTAATGGAAAGACGGCATGTTGGCGGTGGTGATTGTGGGCGTGATGGTAGGTGGTGTGGGTGTGGGGTGAGACAGTGGATCCTGGGGGTCCACACAGAGTGGGAAGATTGGATAAAGGGCAGGGAGCTCCTTGAATGTGTTGGAGAAGAATTAATGGGAGGAATGGTGGTATCCTGTGAAAAGTGGTGGTAGAAAGTATTCATGGGAGAGTAGAGTCAAGGGTAGTAGATATGTCAGAGCCCTGGATGAGGCAGCCATGGGATCAAGTAATATACTATGGAGGTGATGGTGGGGGAGGGGTGGGTGTCAGAAAACTCCCTGATTGTGTTGGGGCAATAATGGAGGCAACATCGGGCATATCTCAGACTGGGTGGGACAAATAGAGGCAGGTGGTTTAGGGGTTAGGAAAAGAAAAGGGATTTGTGGGTCCCAGACGTCCTAGAGAGTTGGGGGTGGAAAGCATTTGTTCATCTGCTTTGCCCACCACACTCTACCTCTGCCTGTTCCTAGCCATGGCACAGACCCAAGAGGATAAGGACAAGATACTTGGTGGTTATACATGCATCCAGAACTCCCAGCCATGGCAAGCGGCCTTACTGGCAGGTCCCTTTCGTAGTTTCCTCTGTGGAGGGGTCCTGCTGTCAGGCCAATGGGTCATCACCGCTGCTCACTGTGCCCGCCCGTGAGTAACCCGCTCCCCTATTCCTGTGCAGGGTGAATTCTAGAGTCTAGCATCCCAGAGCTCAGCTAAGAACCTAGAGCATTGTGTTGAACCTAATGTAGTAGCTGGATCCTGGTTTGGGGTCTAGATAAGAACCTAGAATTACCAACACAGCTCAGAATGTAGAACCCAACCATAAATCCTGAACTCGGCTTAGATTCTGAAAGCAGATTGACAGTTTAGAACCCATATGCCAGCTTAGAGTCCCACACAAAAATTAGAAGCTAACTTATCTGGAGATCCATCTAGAGGCCAAACTCTACAATTGGTTCAATTGAGGGCACAATCTACATTCAGAAACTCAGGACCCCTCTCAGAACACTGCCTAGAATCCAAAGCCTAGTCTAGAACCTGCAGTCCAGCCATAAATCCAGGACTCTGATTACAGCTAGAACATACAGCTCCGGGCTCTGGGCTGCAAGCACAGAGCCTCCGGGCTCTGGGCTCAGAGTGTAGGAGAGACAGAACCAGAGCCCATTCTAGGTACAATGTTTAATTCAGAGTCTAGTCTATAGCTCCTTTTTGAGAGGCCTAGAACCCAAACCTCAGCCCAGTGTCTAAATCCCAGAATGCAGACCATAATCTGACGTCTCATAAAGAACTCAGTAGTCTAGACCAAACCCTAGAACCCAGATCCCTGACAAAAGCTCACCCAGTACCTATAAACACTAAGATATAATTCCATAAATTAAAGTTCATGTCAAACCTAAAGCCCAGAACTCAGCCCGGTGTCTAGAATGCAAAGTCCAGAATGCAAGACAGCATCCAGAAACTTGGATCCAAGCCATAACCTGGAGCTCCATCTTGAACCCAGAGCTCAACCTGAGGTCAAGGCTCAGACCAGAGTCTAGAAGCAAGAGCCCAGACCATAACTGTAGTGCAATCTAAAACAGAGCCCACCCAAGAATCAAAAACTCAGACTGATGTCTAAGACCCTAAGCTCAAAGACAGAGCTCAAACCATTGTCTGAAACCCAGGCCATAAACCAGAGTTTAAGCAAGAACCCAGAACTCAACCTAGGAACTGAAGCTCATATCCATGTCCAGAATCCATAGTTCAGATCACAGTCCATTGCTCAATATAGAATTGAGCCTACCCTACAACTAAAAGCTCAAATAAACATCTAGAACCAAGACTCATACCATAATGCAGAGCTCAAAATAGAATCTGCAGTCTATCCTAACACCAAAAGCTCATACCCATATCTAAAATGCATGCCATGATCCAGACTCCATCTAGAGAACCCAAATTCTAGCTTCAACTCAAAAGTTCAAAATGTCTAGAACCCAGAAGCCAGGCTGGCACCAGGATGGAGCCTCTCAGGAGCCTCCTCCAGGATATCAATTCCGATTTAGAGCCTAGAGCCATAGCCCAGAGTCTCAGAGCCTAGAGCTTGGAAATCAGAGCCTAGAACCCAGCACTGAGCCAAGAACTCCCAACCATTACCTTACACCCAAGCCAGAAACCAGAACACAGCTCAAGACAGAAAGGGGTGGATGGTGGGATTGACCCAAGAGAGAGCCCAAGCTATGAGAAAGGGCACAGGAGTCCAGCTGGTGTTCCAAAAGTTGGTTAGACTTGTGGGAAATTCATCAGCAGGGAAGGGAAAGGGGCCAGAGGATGGGGAGTGGTCTCCAGGTCAGATCCTGAGCAGTGCTACTTTTGGGGGTCATGGGCCAGGATCCTTCATGTAGCCCTGGGCAAGCACAACCTGAAGAATTGGGAGGCTACCCAGCAGGTGCTGCGTGTGGTTCGCCAGGTGCGACACCCCCAGTACAACTCCCGGACCCACAACAACGACCTGATGCTGCTGCGGCTGGAGCGGCCTGTTCGGCTGGGGAGGGCGGTGAAGCCCATTGCCGTGGCCAATACCTGCATGAGCCCAGGGACCCCCTGTCTCGTGTCTGGCTGGGGCACCACATCTAGCCCCATTGGTAAGTACTTCCGTATCCTGGAAATGAGGGGCTGGGGGACTGGACTTCTGGGCCTGAGGGAGGAGGAGGTAAACCCGACTCGTAACCCTTCAGTGTACCCCCAGCCAGGTACCCCAACTCTCTGCAATGCGTGAACATCAACATCTTCTCGGATCAAGAGTGTCAGGGGGCTTATCCCGGAGCCATCACTGCCGGCATGGTCTGTGCAGGTGTTCCCCAAGGAGGGAAGGACTCTTGTCAGGTGAGGTGCAGAAAGGAGAGCTGGAGGAAGGGGATTGTTTGGGGCTGGCACTTGGGTACCAAAGGATCTCAGGAGCATGAAAATCAGAGGAGGTATCCCCAGAAACTGAAAGAGATTGTAATAGTCCGGCTGCATCCTAGCTGTATACCCTTGGGTAACAGGCCTAATCCCTCTGTCAGACAGGGGTAGCTCCTCTTAGAGCACATGGTGGAATCAGATGGTAATTCATGGAAAGAGTGCAGAGTGGTGCCTGCACTTAGCTCTGATCACTGCTCTCATTTGTGTTATTATATTTGGTCACCTGGAAATCTGTGCTCAGCACCTCTAGAGATCTTAGCCCTGAGAGGTGACTCCAGAGACAGGGAGATGTAAAGAGGCACACACAGTTTTCTAGAGCAGCACAGTGAGCCCCAAGGGGAAGAGACAGAAGGAAGCAGTGAAAAGGGAAGGCAGTGATATCTCCAGAGCCCTGTCCAGGGGTCTCAGCCCACCTCTTCCCCATCTCTGCCTCTTGAGTCCTCCACACCCACGGCTCTGGCCATCTGTCGTCCATGGGTGTCTCCATCTCGGCCTCTCCCCTTCAGGGCGACTCAGGGGGACCCCTGGTGTGCAAAGGACAGCTCCAGGGCCTCGTTTCCTGGGGGATGGAGCGTTGTGCCCTGCCCGGCTACCCTGGGGTCTACACCAACCTGTGCAAGTACCAGACCTGGATCCAGAAAACCATACGGAGAAGATGATTGTTGGTATGACTTAACATCAGCTGCCCAGCTGTCTCCCCAGACCCTGCTCTCGCCACTCAAGACCCAGGAGTCCCAGCCCCCAGCCCCCCAGCCCTCCTCCTCCCTCAGACCCAGGAGTCTGGGCCCCCAGCTTCTTGATGGGGACCCCTGGCCCAGGACTCCCCTTTCCCAAAGAAGTTCCTTCAGGTTTTCTCTCCACTCCCCCACAACACCATTATTCAAGACCCCTTCGGTACAGGGACAAGAGCATGAAAACACATGCTTTGGGGCATCATACCCCAAAGAAGACAGTTTTCAAAGCTTAGTGTCTCTAAAAACCAGATAAATACTAATAAAAATGGAATAATCCTAAAGTCCATTCACCTGTTCATTTAATTCATCTGACAGATATGTACACACAAGTGGCTGAATGGGGTCCGTGTTGTTCCCTTGGAGGCACCCTCCATTCCCTACATCTGGTGTGGTAGAGGGAAATGCCCAGCCTCGCGGCATGACCCTGAACAAGACCGTCCCTCCCGAGGCTGGGTCCTATGAGCAGGGACTGCTGAGGTCCAGGGCAGGGAGGGCAGAGACCCACCTTGTTTCTTGGAAAACCCTATGCAAATAAAAAGGTCCTCTTTCTCCTAATCAGATCTCAGGTGAGGAGAGTTGAGTTAATCACCTGCTGGCGTTCAAGTCCTGGCAGAGCTCTGCTCTCATTTTATTTCTTTATTTCTATCTGTCATCCCTGGCTCCGGTCCCCTCCCTCCCCAGAGGCACCAACACAAATGGCCTTGAACACCATGAGTCCTTGCAAAACATGCCTGTCACAATGTGTTGCTTCTCATTTACATGAAACCATTGTGTTATGGATCTCATTCTCTTTCTCACTTTCATTCATCAGACTATTTATTGGAGGGGCGCCTGGGTGGCTCAGTCGGTTAAGCCTCTGACTTCGGCTCAGGTCATGATCTCACGGTTCGTGAGTTCAAGCCCTATGTCAGGCTCTGTGCTATCAGCCTGGAGCCTGCTTCAGATCCTCTGTCCGCCCCTCCCCCACTCTTTCTCGCTCAAAAATAAATAAACGTTAAAAAAATTAAAAATAGAAGACTATGTACTGCCTACAACAGTGCACCAGGCATTGTTCTAGGTGCTGGAAGTTGAGCTGTGAACAAGCCAGATAAATCTAAATGCCTCCCCCAACAGAGCTGACACTCTGGCAGAAGGTGATAGACAACAAACGACGAACATAATTTAAAAGTACGGTAGAGAGGCACTGGGCTGACTCAGTCAGTGAGGCATATGACTCTTGATCTTGGGGTTGTGGGTTTGAGCCCCACCTTAGGTGTAGAGATTAAACATAAAATCTTCAAGGGGCACCTGGGTGGCCAGTTGGTTAAGCTTTGGTTCAGGTCATGATATCACGATTCGTGAGTTCAAGCCCCACATCGGGCTCTGTGCTGACACCTCAGAGCCTGGAGCCTGTTTCAGATTCTGTGTCTCCCTCTCTCTCTGCCCCCCTCCTGCTCACGCTCTGTCTCTCTCTCAAAAATAAATAAACATTAAAAAAAATTTTTTTGAAAAATAATAAAAGTAAAGCAGAAAGCCCTTAAGAATGAAAGGTCAGTAAACTTGAGCCAGGAGACGAGCCCAGTGTGTACCAGAGCCAGCTCAAACCAGCCCATAAAAGCCAACTGGCAAATTTTTAGGAATTTTGAAAGCCAGTTGGTAAACACAACCATTATTAGAAATTAAATTACATTGGGGTGCCTGGGTGGCTCAGTCGGTTAAGCATCTGACTTTTTTTTTTTTTTTAACGTTTATTTTTGAGAGAGAGAGCACAAGCAGGGGAGGGACAAAGAGAGAGGGAGACACAGAATCTGAAGCAGGCTCCAGGCTCTGAGCTGTCAGCACAGAGCTTGACTCAGGGCTCAAACTCATGAACTGCAAGTTTATGACCTGAGCCAAGGTGGAATGCTTAACCGACTGAGCCACCCAGGTACCCCAACATCCAACTCTTGATTTCAGCTCAGGTCATAATCTCACAGTCTGTGAGTTCGGAGCCCCGCCTCGGGGTCTGCACTGGCAGCTCATATCCTGCTTGGGATTCTTCCTCTCTCTCTGCCCCTCCCCTGCTTGCTCTCTCTCTGTCTCTCAAAATAAATAAACAAAAACTTTAAAAATATTAAATTACATAAACTTACAATTGAACGATGAATATTCAAAACAAGTTCAATTAATACTCAACATTCATCAATTCCTAATTATTTTCATGAGTATTTATATACTTTGAAGTTATATTTGTCTTATTGCCTTACATCTGTCACCGTGAGCTCTGCACATGTCTTTCTCACTCTGTGTCCTGTGAAATTGTCCTGGGAGGTTGATATCAGCCCAAGCAGGAATACTTGTGCCACAGAAATTGGCAAAAGCGGGGCAGCTGGCTGGCTTAGTCAGTTGAGTGTCCGACTCTTGATTTCAGCGCAGGTCATGGTCCCAAGGCTGTGGGATTGAGCCCCACATCAGGCTCACTGCTGGGCGTGGATCTTGCTTTGATTCTCTCTCTCTGCCCCTCTCCCTCGCTCTCTCTCTCCCCTCCCTTTTCTGTCTCTTAAAATTAAATAAATAAACAAACAAACACATAAACCAACAAATTAAAAGAAATTGGTGAAAGCTTTTTCTTGGAGAGCTTAAATCCTTACCCTGGAGAATTAACCCTTGGGAAATCCTTGGAGAGTTAAATCCTTACCAGCGCAGTGTGGGACATGTGAATGTCCCTAGGAATGACCTGATGATCCCAGCCTCTGTCTCCTCGTAGTTCTGCACTGGGACACTGCAGAACTCAGACAGAGTGGAAGGCAGTGTGGCCTCACCAGTGTTCACGTGCTCTGCTGTGAGGGACAACACAGGATCTGAGAGTTCTCAGGTTCTGGGTCTGGGAACCGCATGGCTACAGAAATTCCAAAGATTGTTGGGACATGGAGGCTGCACCTTGTGTCCAGGTGACACAGACACACTTTGGCTCACATATGCAACAGCCATACAAGCTCTGTGGAGCAAAGGGGACAAGAGCAGCTGTGTACTAAGGTACCTTCAGGCCCCTGGAGAGATGATGATACAGCCATGCTGTAATTCTTGGCCTGTATCCTTCTATAACGCTAAATAAAAGTCGGGGTTTTTTTTAATTTTTTAAAATGTTTATTTATTTTTGACAGAGAGAGAGAGAGAGACAGAGCATGAGCAGGGGAGGGGCAGAGAGAGAGAGAGAGACAGAATCTGAAGCAGGCTCCAGGTTCTGAGCTGTCAGCACAGAGCCCGATGCAGGGCTCGAACTCACAGACTGCGAGATCATGACCTGAGCCAAAGTCGGACACGCAACTGACTGAGCCACCCAGGCGCCCCAAAATAAAAGTAGTTTAGATCAAAGATTACTTTAATCTGATTTCCAAACTTATACTCCCTGCTGTGATGGTTCAGTACTGCATTTTATTGTTTCGCAGGTGCACATTCCTTCACATGTTTAACAATTCTGAAGTGGGAAGCATCTTACAACCAGTAGTGTCTTAGCATTATATCATGGTTTAATCGACATAGTCTTTCTCTATTTCAGAGGTATGCAAAGTAATAGTGCAAATACAATCACCAACATCTTAAATTGGATGAAGTAGGGTACACGGAAGGTGGGTGTAGGTGAGGAGTCAGGTTGAGGTATTTTTTTAAAGTAGGCTCTACGCCCAACATGGGGCCTGATCTCAAGACCCCGAGATCAAGGGTCACATGCTTTACCAACTGAGCCAACCAAGTGCCCCAGGGTCGAGGCATTAAATAGGTGATCTTATTCCACCAAACACTGTGTTAATCATCTATTTGTGTTGCTGTTTGTTCATCTATTTATTGCCTCTAACTGCCACAGAGTCTTCTCCACCTGTGCAGTCCAATATGGCAGCCATTAGCCACATGTGGTCATTTAATTTTTAAATTAAAATGAGCTAAATTCAATACACGTTAAGATTCCACTCATTAGCTGCTCTTGCCACATTTCTGGTGCTCAGTAACCTGGGGCTAGTGGCTGCCACAATTGGGCAGCTCAGATAAATAGAATATTTCCATCATCACAAGAAGGTCTATTGGAGAGCACCACTTGCTTCTCAAAGTGTGGTCCAGGAAACAGCAGCATCAGAATTACCTGGAGCTTTTGTGATGTCAGAGTCTTGGGCCCCAGCCCAGACCAAATGAACCAGAATCTGCATTTTAACAGGATCCCCAGGGACAGAATGCATCTGAAAGCTTGAGAAGCACCATGGCATGCACACAACATGTTTAAAAATTTTTTAAATATTTATTTATTTTTAAGAGACAGAGACGGAGTGCTAGTGGGGAAGGGGCAGAGAGAGATTGAGAGAGAGAGAGAGAGAGAGACAGAGAGAGAGAGATACAGAATCCAAAGCAGGCTGCATGCTCTGAGCTGTGACCTGGGGTTTGAACCCACCAGCCGTGAAATCATGACCTGAGCCTGAGCCAAAGTTGGACGCTTAACCGACTGAGCCACTCAGAAGGCCCAAAAGGCCCACTCTTAATCAATGTCACCAGGTACTAGCAGGTTTTTGCCCAGATAGAAGGATTCCTATCTCCCTACACCCTCAGCAGTGCCTGCATTTCGTTCATTAGTCCGGCAAAGATTCATTGAATTTTATTATACCCCAGGTACTGTTTTAAAACAAAACAGATAAACACCTCTGCCCCCAGGGAACTCACTTCTAAAGGAGAGGCAGACAGGAAATAAATAAATGAATAAGTAAATACATAAAGCATTACAGATGGGAGTGAGTGCCTTGGATAAAAGTAAAGCAGAGTAAGGGGATAGAAAATGTCAGAGGAGGGTTACGATTTTCAGCAGGTGTTACACAACGAAGGGTTAACTCAACAGGCCTGAGTTGTCCACAACCTGCACAGAAAGAAAGGCTTGCAAGCCTCTTGGTGGCTCAGTCGGTTCAGCATCTGACACTTGATTTAGGCTC